TAATGTAAACCATGCCAATCTCCATTCAAGGGCAATGTATGAGTTGAACCGACAGGCTAATTTATCAATCCGCCAAAATTGAGCAAGTTGGGTTATATATTTCAACCCATCATCCCACCTCAACCCGCCCCATTTAGTTATGGGACAAAACGAGTTGGTGGTGGTTCGGGATGGGTTGATCCGCGGAATTTATTTATTAATTGATAATATTTTATTTATTATTAAGCTTTTGTGATATGAATTTTTTTTTTATCTTAGTACTCCTCTAGAAAAAAATAAAGATGAAAATTTTTATTTATGACAAGTTATCCATATATGGAGACAAAAATAAGTTCTTAAAAAATATCTTTTTTTTTTTATGAAAAGTTCCTAAAATATATCTGACTGAATATTAGTATATATTTAGACTTGAGATTGAAAAAAAAACTAAGGGGATTGGAAATGAAAATAAATATTATTTTAAAATTAATAAAATATAATTTATTTTTATTTTTAATTATTTTTTATTTTTTAGACGGGTTGGCGGTCAACCCACCACAAAACGGAGTCCGTTAGAATTTTTAACCTATATCAAAATGCAGAGTGGAACGGGCCAACCCATTTCTGACAGGTTGGCGGTGGGTCAGAATGGGCCGACCCGTTTTGACACCTCTGGGGCAATGCTATTACGTGTAATTTAGCTTCTATTAGTGGAGGCAATGATGCTGTTATTTGCCTAAAACAATGCTTACATAAATATTTAGGTCATATATGCAGTGGTTTTAGTGAACGCTAATGAGGCTGCAAAATGGAATACATGTAATGCAGCAAAATATTTTCAGTGGTACCAACCACTAAAATGTCTATACATCCTGCTATGTACGACCAATAGAATATTGACTTATCTTTATTTGAACAAGTTATAACTTCAAAATCCTTGTTCAAATTCTGCTCAACAAGATCTGATTTAGAAGTTTGGCATAAAACGAGTTTTGTCGGAATGTTAAATTTTTGTCCCCTATATCAGCGGAGAATATTTTAGCATTTACGTATCTAGATTCTCTGTACACACACAGGATATATATATATATATATATATATATATATATATATATATATATATATATATATATATATATATATATATATACATGAAAAAAACTACTCTTATGTTACATGTCATAAATTTCTCTCCTACACACCATTCGATAACTGTCACCTTTTTCTATTCTTTTCTTTTTATTTTTCAGAGTTTATCTCTATAACATGAGATAACTTATCTCCTTTAACATGAGATTAATAAAACTATATATATATATATAGAGGTAGGATCCTTTAACACCAGTGTCAAATTTGAAATTTGACACCTCATCTGAGAACCATTAGATTAAAAAAGATCAATGGTTTTACATGCTTACAAATCAGAGTCGTTGATCTTTTTTGATCTAACGGCTCTCAGATGAGGTGTCAAATTGCAAATTTGACACTAGTGTCAAAGGATCCTACCTCATATATATATATATATATATAAGAAAAAATGTGTATTATTTTAAAGTATATAAAATTGTGTCATTTTAAGTGAGAGAAAGAGATAGATAAAAGAGTAGAGAGAGTGGACAAAAAAAATATAAAGATGTGGGTCCCACCTCTTTGTAAGAGTGAAATGACATAAGTTGTGTCATTTAAAAGGACAAACATTTTTCCTATATATATATATATATATATATAGGTAAAATTATTTCTGTAGCCGCTTTACATACGGCAACGACATGTGTATGGTTATGATTCCTTATATTTAATGCTTTCAAGTATCTATATAGCAAGTATTTAATTACTGCATGTACAGCAGTTGCAGAAATGTAAACCTCGTGTATATATATATATATATATATATATATATATAATGCCAAGGCACAGGACCATGAAACTGAAAAGTTCCTGTCTTATTTCAAAGGGAAAAGTGTCTATACTTTTAAATTACACAACTTACATCCTTTCACTCTCACAAAGAGGTGGGACCCACAACTTTAATTTTTTTGTCAACTCTCTCTCTTCCTTTATCTATCTCTTTCTCTCTCTTAAAATGACACAACTTTACATCCTTCAAAATTATACACACTTTTCCCTATTTCAAACCATGTATTTTACCTAAAAAAAGGTGGAGTTGCTTTTGGTTTTAAACATGCTGAGGCTGAAGAACATATGACACATAGCGAATTAAACATGTTGTGTATGTCAAAGAGGCAAATTTGACATTTTTTCTATGCCATAGGATTGAGTCTTTTAGGTCATTACTACATATTTTCAACTCTATTTGTCTGTAAGCATGTGCCTAAACACATGTATGAGTGCTAGATGAATTAAAAGGGAGCATGGAGGTACAAGTTATATTCAGACACAAAAGACAAGAATATTGACTCAAATAAGAATAGTTTTATATTCCTGGATATTCCATCATCATTGCATATTTAACTCACTAAGAATGGTTAATTGGTGACACGAATTTATATAGGAAAAAATGGTTGTCTTTTTTAAATGACACAAATTATATCATTTCACTCTCTCAAAGAGGTGGGACTCACATATTTATATTTTTCTGTCCACTCTCCCTCCTCCTTTATCTATTTCTTTTTCTCACTTAAAATGACACAACTTTATATCCTTTAAAATGATACACATTTTTCTCGTTTATATATGGTTCTCGTGAAGGAGCAACAACTTGTCCTCCCATATGTAGAAAGAATAGATTCACCACTAATAATTTTGCCTATCAATATTCTTGCATTCCACAAGTTGACAGTAGTTGGGGACTTAGTGTCACTTGAGAAATACTTAGCTCCAAGAATTATTTGGCGTAAGAGATGATGGTTGTTTTAAGCTCCACAAAATTCCTAATTTATTTGGGAAAAGTTTCTTCATATTAGATACTCAATGCATCACATACTAAATTAAAAAAAAAAAAAAAACTATTTAACCTCATTTATTATACTCATTCAGTGCCTCATAAATCCCATTTATTTCTACTTAAAGTGCATATAATTTCAGAGTACTGGAGATCTACTCGTATTTCAACAATTTTAGCAAACACATATTTTTATACTCCTTTAAACATTTTTTTTTGTAAGCTTTTAAACATTCTTTATTATTAAGAAAAAATTCATTCTAACCCTATTTATAATCCTATTTAATTAGAGAGATTTTCTTCAAATTATTTATTGAAAAATATTTACAAAATATCCAATAATATAAAATCAATTTTTTTATTTTATTTTTCCTTTTTCTCTTTTCTATATAATTGTCCCACTAAAAAGGTAATAAATCTTGAGTAATACCATCAGACTGATGTTGACCACTCAATGCGGTTATATTATAACTCTATATTTCGGGGAGTACATAGTTATAATATTAAAGATACTTTTTTTTAATCTTTTTTCAAAATTTGTCGGCTGATGTAGAAAGAAAAAAAAATAACTTTAATATTATAACTATATGAGGTAGGATATTTTTACTACCAATTTTTTCTACTACCACTTTAATCACCATTGGATTCAAAAGTTATTTTTCTTTTCTCTTTCTTCATTCAACTTTTCCTCTAATTCAATGGTGATTAAAGTGGTAGTGGAGTGATAGTAAAAAAATTGGTAATAAGAATATCCTAACTCTAACTATATACTTCTCGGAGAGTACATAGTTAAAATCTATGATGTACAAACACTTCAAAAAACTTGATGTATCGTGTTCGACACTCCCCGATAATCTGACACTTCAACACGTTGCAGATACTCAAAAAACTTCAAAGGTTGCGATGCGTTGCATTTTTAGTTCCAACTATTAGATTTGTTGGAATGCAATTACTATTTTATTGAATTTAATATAAATATTTATGATGTCTTATGTTTCTTTGTAAAATTGATAGATGTAATAAATGTAGCTTCATTTTTTTTGTTGAATTATTGAATATTAAATATAATATATATTACATAAATTAAAAATATTATTTAATATCAAAATGTGACCTAAAGTGTCAAAATTTAACATTTTTTAAAATTAATGTATTGGAGTGTCGTTTTATGCCCCAAATCAATGTCGATGCAATATATGTTATAATATGACGGTGCTCATTGCGACGGTAATACTAAAAATTTATTCCTAAAAGATGCTAATATCTATCCTTACTTATTATAAATGCAATAATTAAAAAAAATTAATAAAGAATTTTATATCAGAATCTCTTGATATAAATTATTTTGTTTTTCTTCTTTTTCCTATAACTGTCCCCCATAAAAAAATGGCTAATATTTTATCAGTACATGCTATGAAGCACTGACACTTCAAAAATTATGACGTGTCGTGTCCGACACTTTCTGACACTTCCCGACACTCTAACACACATTATATAATTCAAAAAAAGATTCAAAGGTTGCGTTGCGTTGAGTTTTTAGTTCCAACTATTAGATTCGTTGGATTACGATTATCATTTTATTGAGTTTAATATAAATATTTGGGATATCTTATGTTTCTTTACAAAATTGATGAATATTATAAGTTTAATTTCATTTTTTTTGTTAAATCATTAAATACTAAATATAATATAACTGCATAAATTAAAAATATTATTTAATATCAAAACGTGTACTAACATGTCAAAATCTAACATTTTTTAGAATTAACGTGTCAGAGTGTCGTGTCGTATCGTGTCACGTGTCCCGTGTCCCGTGTCAGTATCGGTACTACATAAACTACATGTAATAAGTAAAGAAAATTTATAAAGAACAAGACGTTATGATACCTTCATATAAATTAAATTTACGTATATGTCAGTCGATTAAATGCGCAATTACTAAGATAATGATATTCTGACTCTCGCAATATCTTTATATTATTAGAAATCGTCACATATGGCAAGTATTTATTATATCAATATTTTAAAGTTAAAGACCGTTTAAAGAAAAATTGATACGCCAACTATTTATGCTTCAAAAAAAAAAAAAAAAACATAATCATTTCCTGCAATATAAAACCCTAGCAGTACAATTTCACTCTCATTTTCACTCTCACTCTCACTCTCAGCCATTGATGGAGTCCTTTAAGGTCAAGATGAACCCTTCCACCATCAACTTCTTCCCTCGGGTTTATCCTACTCAAGGTGTGGTTTCATCTTCCTCTCAATCTCAACCTCAACCTCAACCTCCCACCATTTCACCTCAAGTTATGGCTACGCCTCAACATGTATCATCATCTTCTGCTCCTGCTGCTGGTAAATCCTTGCATTCCCATGTTTGCCTTTGTTTGTTTACTCAGGAACACACAGAAAGTTGAGATTTTTCTTAAAAAAAAAATACATAAAATTTGTTGGGTCATTTTTTTTAGCTTGGTGATTTTGAGGAATTCATTTTTTTATTTTATTTTTTTAAATAACATAGACTTAGCTGTTAATAGTAAAAAACATTCCTTGATTTTTAATAGAATCCATGGATCCCCAAATATTTTGAACTTTGATATCTTGTGGCCTACTTATATGTTTACTGAAGTCACATGTTTTTTATTTTTATTTCTGGTTGTGGAATTTGTTGGTGTAGATAAAATTTGAATTTTAACACATAAAAGATCTCTAATGTTGTGGTTTGATCTTATCAGGTTTGCCAGAACTATTGTTGTACAAAAATCATTTGCAGGAGTTTGCTCAAAGGGCAAACATAGCACTTCCCATGTATATGACTGCTAACGAGGGATCTAGCCATGCCCCAAAGTTTAGGTCAACGGTATGCGTAGATGGAGTGAGTTACACTTCTGAGAACACTTTCTCTCAACGAAAAGCTGCGGAGCAAGACGCCGCCAGAATTGCTTTGGAGAAGCATTCTGCAAAATTTAGAGATGAAGGGTGCCCTCTTGTTTCTGAGGTTTGTTGTAAATAAGTTTTGCTATCAATTTTGCGAACTGTTATCGAATTTCAAGCCAAGATAGATTGCTTATTCATAGTACCTCACTACTTGTGTTGTTGTACAATGTTTTGTGCTTGAGTATTTGTTTAGTGCTATTCAATTCAGATTGCAATGTTTGTTTATATTATATTCTATAAGTTTAGAACTGCATTTTGTTGTACTTCCTTTGGCTTGTTTTCTGTCCATTTGAGATTCAGTTGATTCAAATTTTGTAATCTACTTATATGGCACCAAATGTTTTTCATAGATAACATAATGTTGTAGATATGTAACTCTGCCTGTAATTTGCATGATTTTAGGTTGTTACTTATTCCTTACAAGCTTGTTTGGGCTTTCGATATGTATACGTTGATATATGCATGCTTTTGGTCTAAAAGATTTAGGTTTTTTCTTCTTTGGCTCCAATTTTAATGTTACTGAATGATGTGGAAACAACTATATTTATTAACTAACTTATTTTCAGCTGTTTGCTTTTTTCACACAAGCTGTCAAAATATTGACAAATTTTATCCAAAAGAAATAGCATCATTCGCAATGATGGTGATTCATATTGGCTTGGTCATATATTGTCATTCAATATTATATTTCATTGTAGAATCCTTATATTACTGCTCCTTGTGATCTTTCAGAATGCTATGTTTTCTAAGATTATCTTGAATGAGTATGCTACTAAGCTGCATGTAGAAAGACCAACTTACGACACTATTCAGCTAGAAGGGTTGCTTCCTCGCTTTGTATCATCTTTAGTTTTCAATGGTACAAAGTACACTGGAGATGCTGCTAGAACCAAAAAAGAGGCCGAGCAATTAGCAGCATGTGCTGCTATTCTTTCAATTCTAGGTATTCTTTTATGGAAAAAATGTTTGTCATTTTAAATGACACTGAACCCTTCTTTTATATATGCTTTATTACATATTCTTATAATTTTTCATTTAGCTATGCAGTAACTAATTAAATGAATATTCAAAGCAGGCGATTCTGGCTCTGGAACTCTTTACGAGATAATAAAGTCGAAATCTAGAATTTATGCTGCTGTCAAACCAAACAAATCCCAATATATTGATGTTAGTACTGGATCAGCCATAGCAAATACAGGACATACCTCTGTTTCACTGGATCAAAAAGATAAGGAAGTTGCAGGTCCTGTGGTTGCTAATAATAATGTAGCAAAAACTGAACTTCCTGTGCCTTCGAATAATAATGAAGCTAAAATTGAACTTCCTGTGCCTTCTGATATGCTTTCCTTACGTCAAAGATTTCAAATGCCTAAATATGTACCATTCCTTGAAGCCCCCAAGTTTCCAATTGTGCCTGTCCAACCAGATTCAGAACAGCCCGTGGATGATAGTTCAAGGATCTCAAGGAGTCCAATTGTTCCTCTCCAACCATCTGATATGTTTTCCTTGTGTCAAGGATTTCAAATGCCTAAACATGTACCATTCCTTGAAACCCCCAAGCTACAAAATCCGCCTCTCCAACCAGTTTCTGAACAGCCTGTGGATGATAGTTCAAGGATTCCAATTGTTCATCTCCAACCTTCTGATATACTTTCCTTATGGCAAAGATTTCAAATGCCTAAACATGTACCATCCCTTGAAGCCCCCAAGCTTCCAGTTGCTGCTCTCCAACCAGTTTCAGAACAGCCAGTGGATGATAGTTCAAGTTCAAAAAAGCGAAGAAAGAAGGCTAAACAGGTACGATCCGTTGAAACCACCGAGTTTCAAACTGTTACTCTCCGACCATGTCAAGAATTTCAGAGGCCTAAACATGCACCATCCCTCAAAGCCACTGAGCATCCAACTGTGCCTCTCCCACCAGGTTCAGAACAGCCTATTGATGATCATTCAAGCTCAAAAAAGCGACGAAAGAGCAAGAAGAAGAAGGCACGAGTGGAATCTCCTTAGATTTCTTAACATATATCATCTCTGTTGTTTACCATCTAACTGTCTTTTTCTGCATTTGCTGTATTTTTCTTTCAGCCTTTTCTTAATACTTTTCTGTGTCTCTAACTTTAGATGTATTACTTTAAACAGTAATTTTATTTAGCTTCTAATATATTTTTTTCCCTTATCTGTCCATAAATTTTTAAGTTCTCATTCCTTAGTCACACTGTCTATATAGATTTTAATTCTTTGTCTTAGTCAATTGCTGTGGGGTCAACATGCTATGGTTTTTCAGGAAACGAGAATAGAAAGTTCCTGCATATTTCTCATTCTTCATAAAACTTAATTCACCAGTGTATCGGATGAACCATTGGGGCATTGGTTCTCTGAATCTTGTCTCTGGGTAAAAGAAGTTTGTATTTATATAGTGAGGGGGAATGGGTGCTTGTTAATTGTTATAGTGGCTATGTAGTTTAACCTAGCTGGCTATATTCATGTTTATTTCTGGAGGTATGTCCTATGATTAATTGGATGTTTTATTGTGAGAATTTGATGGTTATTAATTGCCGCATTTAATTTGAACAAAATCCCTCGTTCAGTGGCACAGTAATTGAGTGAAAATGTGATCATTTTTCTATGGTTTGTAAAAACAAAACTCTTGGTCCTAGTTCTTGGATAGAAGACTATTAATATGTAGCATATATTTTCCTTTTCCTTTTTTTTTTTGAAATGCATTGCCATTCCAACTTCTGTTGATAATGCACAAATGTAATCAATCAGTTCATTAAAAACTTAAGTGTAACTTTGTTTATGGATTTTGGGCATTTTCATGTGTACTTAACTGGTCTCTTTGTTCCATCTCTACTTAAATAAGTTAAAAATAGTAAACGAACATTTTCGTCAGCTCTATATTTTTTCTCTTTTCCATCCCCATTAAAAATGTTAAAATAGCTGAGAGTATCTCATTTACTTAGCCTTCCTGAGAAAGAATAGTCTTCTTAAACCAAAATCAAAGGATTCCAGAGATGTAAAGATCTAAGAATATTAATAATCCCATTATAAAATTGTTTTGATGCGATGACGGTAGCATAAAACTCTTAATACGTTCAGCATTTGGGTATCTTCCAACTCTACCTTATTTTAGTACAAATCGATGATTGTAGCGATCTTATGACATACACGTGAATTGGAAAGATGTTTAGGTCCACATATTTTAAAAATTTACGGTACTCCCATCACATCACTGACTCAGTGTGATGAGTCAATTAAAATGAGGTATTTTCTGTGATATGTGTATGGAGAAGAAAAAAAAAATTTAATCCAAGTTTCAATTTTTTAAAATCATAGGTACATCAGATTTACCGAAAATACTCTCCACATATTTGGGTACGTTAGTATGCTTATATTACTCAAATAGAGTAAAAATAAGGGATAGTACAACAACAATATATTTCATTGTTAAAATAATATAAATGTTCAACAAAAAGCATATAAAGATGCACAACAAGTCTCTAAATTTCTCATAACTAGTCAATCTAGTTACAAAATCTTGTTCATAATACCAAAAACAAAAGATCAATAACTCTTATCCTTTCATTATTACAACTCTATAACACAAAATAATACATCAAATGCAACTTACTTCAAATAACTCGATGACTCCGAGGACATTGTTGTGACACGCTATTTATGATCTAACATAAAAAGCAACATAAATGATTCAATCTTTTTTTTTTTTAACTATAAGTTATCATCCTACACTTGGGTTTTTTCTCAAAAAAATCACCATGTATAAGAAATAATCTACTTACACTGTGTAATAACAAGAAGTAAAACATATCTTAATATTAAGACAAAAACACTTCTACTCTTCAATCCATCACCATTGCCACCAACTCAATGAACATCATTCAAAGAAGCACATCTATTCATCTAGACATGATATGTGAATGCAGCCATGAGAATGTTCCGGTGCTTTATGTCATGCACCAGCTGAGGCACTTTTAGGGGCTGAGCCAGTCTCATATACAAACTCATCAGATTGTTGAAAGCAAAATTAATGACATACCGCAATTCATTCATCTTTTAAAAATCAGCCATTGAGCCAATACCTTCTTTGTGATTAGTTCCATGCAATAACAGTTCAAAAGGGCACACAATATGTATACTTGTTCTTGGCTCAAGGAGGAACACATCTAGGGGGCGTTTGATAGAGAAGAAATTTTTTTTTTTACCAAAAAAATGTAATTACTAGGAAAAATGTGAGAAAGTATGTTTGGTAGGAAAGTTTAAAAAAAATTGTTTGGTTGAGCAAAATATTACTGGAAAAAAAAGCACATTGGAAGTTGCAAGTTGCACAATGCATATGTTGCTTTTTGCCATTTATCTGGTTTTCTCCCAAATACCACGTTGAAAGTTGTATTCTTGCACAGTGCATATGTTGTTTTTTTACATACGATTGTCGATGCCGGGGCAAAAGCGTTTGATGGGTAAATTTTTTGATTTCTTCTGCCAAACGGAGACAACTGAGAATGCCACACTCAGTTGACTGGGAAATTTTACAAATGTCCTGAACCAAACACCACGCTAGAGTAATTATCCATGGTAAAGTTAATTCCCTCATCTCCATCCATTCCATTATCTTCAAGCATTGAAAAAAGCAAAAAAACTAATGAAAAATTTATCTTTTTTTTTACTAAGCTAGGTTTGATTATATGAATCAAACAAAGTTATCGTGTTTAGTCTAAAATTAATTTTAGATCCTTTTTAACATATAAAGCATTTTAAAAAAATCAGGTACATGTAGGTGGGATGGTGTAGTTATTATCTAACCATTTACAATTTTTTTTTTTTGGTAAGAAAAAATTTAGATTGGGGAAAACCATGTCCCCTGCAAGATTAGGTAAGACCATTAATTTCAGTGAGAGTTTACGGTGGGGATTATATATCACCTATTAAAAAGAGAAACCTTAGAATCAAATTCAAGTCACGGCTAACAATCTTTTTGTTTTATCATTTGATGTGCAAATTTTTTTATTTCATTTTTTGAGTGCCATGAACCAATAAGGATACTCTGCAGGTCAAAAACAACTATAGGGAACCCCGATCCATGTACATATTCATATGTGAGATATGCTTTAGAAATTTTTCATTATTTGGTGCTAACCCATAATTGAGTATAATATTGATAATTGGGACATGTTATATTTACAAACTTTTTTTTTTACAAACTCTTACAAATTATACTATATTCTTCCGGGAGAACATAATGTAATTTGTAAAAATTTTCAAAAAAAATTTGTAAACGGATCCGTCCCCTTGATAATTAGCCAGGTGTACCCTAACAACAGTGAATATTTTCATCACAAAGCAGTTTGGCAAAATTTGAAGGTGTATTGGTGTAGTTTGTTGGAAATTGGCACACGAATCCAAAACAATAAAAAAAAAGAGGAGAGACATTTGTCACAGTGAATTATTCTGTTTTATTTACATCCAGTTTGTCTGTATTATATTTATCTCACCATCACTAGTTGGCTTTTCACTGATCCTACCAACAAGAACTCTCGTAAGTATGCGAAGTATGAGTCATACTCATTATGATTTGAATTTTGATATGTGCCTAATCATGAATTTTTAAGTACATTGTGAGAAATACTTGGTTAGACACTCTCCTTAAGACAAGGAAAATGAATTGCTCCTTTTCCAATGCCAGCTCTTGATTTTGCCCTTGTCCCAAAACATGTGGATGATGATCATCTTCGGGTCTACAAAAGATATACTTAACTATCTTTTATGATCAGTCAGAAATCACAAAAGAAATAAAACCAAAAACAAGAACATATAATATGATGATGATGGGGAAAAAAGTTGGTTTCAACGGATCAATTTAGTTGACAAGGAGTTTTTTCTTTAATAAAAAAATTTGAGTTCGAGTAAAATGAAAAAAATAATCTTAAAAGAATCACACTTACATGAATTCGACAATATTTAATAGATTAGTCGAATAATCGATAAAATGTTTGTGAGAAAAAAATTTGTTTGACTGATGAAATTCATTTTTGGTTTAAAATTCCATTGGCATGGAATCTGCTCTAGTGAATGGGGACATTTTTTTTAAGATAAATTCTTGCAAAAATCTAGAACATTCAAGTTAGAAGCACTACTTCAAGATTTATTGAACATAATTATCACGTATTATGATAACTAATTATCAAATAGTTAACCATAAACTTAGGTGCACTAGGTTTATGTTAAAAAAGAGAGTAGTTTTTGGAGTGTCACATATTTTATTAGGGATTTTAATTTCTGCTTTAACAGAAGAAGATAAAAGTTCACACAGACAGAGAAACATGGTGGGGTCTACAATATTTGTTTTAAAACAAAATAAAAAATAAACAAAAAAATTTGTTGAAACTGTGGCAGGAAGAAAATACTTCTGAGCAGAAGTATTTTCCCCATTTTATTAATGTTTTGACATTTTAGCATTAGTTAACGATGAAGTTCACTATCCACCGCATATTTATTGTTTGAACATTAAATATTAAGTATATAAGTAAGTGGTGGTCCTCATCATTAATTCAGATCGAAATGTCAAAATTTAAATTGATTAAGCATAATTTTACGTGATATTCCAGAAGCGTATAATAATTTTTCAAGTTTATGCAAGTATTTCTCGTAAACCGAGACTTGATTCTTTGATTTGAAGTTCAAACTTTTAATAAATGGCCAAACTTCATATGGTTTCACTTGCTCAAGTTGATTTTTCATCATTTAACTCTTAACTAGTTTATATATATTTGCCATGCATTATGTTGTAGTCAATATCATGATTATTTTACTTAGCTCCCAATTTACTTATTTGTGTTGAAAATTGACACATACAAAAATCCAAAAAAGAAAAAAGAAAAGGGAAGAGAGAACTCGACATAGTGATTTACCTGATTCACCCAATATAGATTAAGTCCAGCTTATCTGTACTATATTTACCTCAGTGTCACTCGTTATGAGTCACTTGGATTACAAAAGAATATAAATAGAATTTAGAAAACACCAACAACAGTTATTCATGGCCCAAGTCCAAACTATTAACAAAAAATCAGACCTCTACGAAGCGGGACCCTAATTACCTTTATGCACATATATTGTACTTCCTCAAAATCTATTGACCTGAATTTTCTTAATTTTCTTTCCTTAATCCCCCTAGATGAATTATTCAAGAAGTTTAATTATTCAAACATCTCTATATAAGATCCTTATGTGTTGGTTATGACTCGAACTTTCTTTTTCTTTGATTTTTTTGTTTTAGGATTCTGTATGTGATTGCCAACATTATGTTCAGATTCAAAATTTTCCATGTTGTTTCCCCTCAAATAGAATATATTCAGAGAGTTAATAAAAGGGGAAGAAAAAAAATACAGAAACTGTCATGCCAATCAGTGTTAGCCTGTTGAATAACTAGTTCCAGACAACAACACTGAATGTTAACATAAAGTATAAAAATATAAGATAAGTCCACGTGCTTAAGTGATTGAAAGGAAGGACATAAGAAGCAACCTTAAGTAGCTCCAGCTTCTTAATCAAAGTAGGAATCAAATAGAGACGTGGTTTTTGCGAAGGACCCGGCGACCCTTATGCTGTTTTGCAGTGTTTTTATCTTCTCTGCTTCTAATGCATTAAATTCTGCCAGCTAACAATCCCAATATGAAGATGAATTAAACTAACATCATGCAAATTCTATTTTAGTATTAGATTTGGACTTCTTCTTTCCCATAGTTAAAGATTTCTATCGTACACTATTTCCTTCTTCATTAATATAAAATAGGAACACGATCATTTGACCCTGATGTCAAATTTTAAAAGTTCAAGAACCCATCTGAGTAGTTGTTAATCTCTTGATTGTAATTTATTGAGTTACACTCAATAATTTTTAATAAATTATTATCATCATATTGATAAAAATCAATAATTCTAAAATTAATTTGACACCAATATTAAATGATATTGTACTTACAAAATAACATTATTTGAGTTGAATATTTGACATCTATAAATAGGCTTTGCTTACTAGTTGTCATTCTCATGCCTGGCCACCGTGAACAAAGTCACAAACCTTAATTGCTTTTGCAATTGGTTTTCCTTTACCTCCCTAATGGCACTGGCCAAAGACAAAATTCCACATGGTTCAAGCATGGACAGCAAGGTTCAAACTTGTGTTTTCAATAAGAATTCTGTGGAGGTTACCTCCTTAACCACTCATGGGATCAATGAGTATCACAAATCTGTGCTTGAAGAGGAAGATGGCTCACATAGTACTAACTGTCTCAGCAATGATTCAGCTATAACCCATTCTCCTTCTCTACATGGCAGTGGCAATGTATATGTCTATAAAGGCACAAACTATCAGATGGAAGAAGCAGAATCTCTGACTAGTTTCAAAGCCAGTGAGTACAGCAATCTCATGCAAGGTAGTGAATCTTTGCTTAGCTTTGAGCAGAAAAGAATGGTCCCTAACAACTGTTACTTGAAAGATAACAGCCAGAAAGAGTACTGTGTTTGGGAGAATAATTTGCAACAAGGCTATAACCAATGGAATCAGATTAGTCCAAGAAGCACAAAAGACTTGCGCCTAGTGCAAGATTTCAATTGCTTTGAAACTGCTAGTGGCTATAGTTCCATAGTCAATAGTGCAAAAGAGAAGCAACATGGCCAAAGTTCATGTGGGTGGCTGTATCCAGAACCAACTATCCCTGTTGATAGCTTCCAGAAGCCAGGAGAACAAGAATCAGCCTTGAAAAAACGCACTTCTATGGTACTGTTACCAATCCTACCATGTTGAGAACTATTCCTTTAAAAAACTTTCTGAAATTAGAATGGCAATTGAGCTGAACTTTTTTTGTTTACAGGGTGAGAGCATGAAAGCTTCTAAGAAGCAATGCTCAAGTGAGAGTAAAACACCAAAACCAAAGTCAAGCACATCCAAGGATCCTCAAAGTGTGGCTGCTAAGGTTTGCTTCAATCCTAAGTCAATTTATGTTAGATGTGTACATGGTTTTGATTGCAAACTAAGCAAAATTAAAATACAAGATGCAATGTTGATAGAATGTTTGTCTCACAGAATAGAAGAGAGAGGATAAGTGAGAGGCTCAAGGTACTACAAGAACTTGTGCCTAATGGCTCCAAGGTAGGAATTTTCTATTTTTTTTTTCTTTTAACTTCCTTTGTAGCAATAAATGGGAAACATACCATATGAGAGATGATTTTGACTTATTAGAATGATGGTTTTAACTTTGATAATGAATTTTGCAGGTTGATTTGGTTACCATGCTGGAGAAAGCAATTAGTTATGTAAAGTTTCTTCAATTGCAAGTGAAGGTGATACTTAAAACACTAGTTTTCTCCTTCTTCTTCTATTTCTTCTGGTATATGGTTTTTCTATTGTGCAAATATTTATGTATTTTCAAATATCCATTTACCTCGAAAATAAATTAGTGCTCTAAATTGAAACATATTATGTGACATCTTTGTTCTCCTATTGTTCATAGTGCAGGTGTTGGCAACTGATGAATTTTGGCCTGTCCAAGGTGGAAAACCTCCTGATATTTCTCAAGTAAAAGAAGCCATCGATGCCATTCTTTCATGCCAAAGAGACAGAAGTTCAAGCTCAAAGTAGATGACTTGCAGTTCATGTTTCAAAGGAAATAATGTCACAACAATTCAAGCACAACTTTGCAGGACAAGAAAAGCCTTGCTCTGAGAGTTGGTCGTTCTGAAGGACACTTTAGAAATTCAGAATGCACGACCTTTAAAAATATGTTAACTTCTAAATCAATATCTAGCATCGAAATTGAACATTTTGTATTTCTAGCTGTGTCATGTTGGGGCTGTTACCTTTTTCTCAGAGTTTCATTAACAAAATATATCTGTAATGTCTAAGTTGTACTTTTCTCTGAATTAGTGCTGATGAAGTGTTTTAGTTTGATCTAAAGTCTTATCCTTTAACGATTGTATATAGTATATTAGTTTATACATGTTCAGCATATTTTTAGCATGCAAGAGGAGACATCAATCATCTGAATTTGTCTCAATGTCAAAGAAATTTTCCTGCTGCTAATGCTGGCAAGAACAAAACCTATAAAACCATATACTGAACATTGACTTTTCTCTCATCTGACAATATCAGAATGAGCTGTTTCCAATGAAATAGCAACAGCTTGGAGGTTAGGGTAGGGTACTTCTTAACTCACTGTGTAACATTAAAAATAAGTAGGCAGTTGACAAATAGAATACAAATAAAAAATTCTACGAGCAACGACAAATAATGTTATACTTAATTAGTCATAATTAATAATTAAATTAAGAGAGTGAACTTTCGAACAGTGGTAAAGTTGTTCTTTGTGATCGAAAGATCATGGATTTGAAAAACATCTTCTTTCTGAAATTATAAGGATAATATGGTGTACAATCGACTCCCGTCTCTATCTTGGAAATCTTATGTAGCGAGGTTTGTACTCACTTTACAGCCTATCTATTTGCTCTAGACCAAGAGTTTCATGTCAAATTGGAGATTGGAGAACCAATGTTATGTCTTGCTAGACTAGTAAAAGACACAATAGTGGTGAATCAGGCTTTGGTTAGTTTGCAAATAAGAATGGGACAATTTTCTACATTCAGGTTTCATACACATTATACCTTCATACCTTAGGACCAAGAAGCAACATTTCATACTGAAAAGGTTAAAACGTAAAAGTCCTGAACATACATAATGATGACATAATATATATATATATATATATATATATATATATATATATTGCTCTAGATTAGATATTGTTTTAAATATGATTCAAATCTCATATGATTCCTTTCAGATCATCACACCAGGATAACACGATCTTCCTGACTTCCTAGTTCTTCACTCTCTACCCCCTCCCCACTATATATCAACACATGGATTGAGCTAGGACCACCTATTCAATATTCATGTAAGCATCTTCTCCACAATTTAAGGCTTGCATATATATATATATATATATGTGTGAGAGAGATTGTTTTTCTCATTTAACATAGGAGGAAGATTGTTTTCGAGCAGGTATGACCATGGTAGTTAAACTCGGGATTTTATAAAATTGGAAGGAGGATAAAAAATTATAAAAAGTAAAATCCAAACATAAAAAAATCGTAAAAGCGTTTGGAATTTTGACGAAATCGTTTTGATTAAAAAAAATCGTAAAAGCACAAATTTAAATCGAGATTTTAACTACCATGGGTATGATCCATCTTAATTTTTCTTGCTCTTCACTTTTTCTCTCCTCTATCTTCGATGTGTGTCAGCACGAAAATGGTCTTTTCTCCTACAACGAAAGAAAAGATTACCCCATATATATATATATATATATATATATATATATATATGTGTGTGTATATATATAGAGGCAGGATCCTTTGACACCGGTGTCAAAAAAAAAGTTTGACACCTCATCTTAGAGCCGTTAGATTAAAAAAAAATCAACGATTCTGATTTGTAAGCATGTGACACCATTGATTTTTTTAATCTAACGGCTCTAAGATGAGGTGTCAAACTTTTTTTTGACACCGGTGTCAAATGATCCTGCCTCATATAGATATATATATATATATATATATATAAGGTAGGATCCTTTGACACTGGTGTCAAATTTAAAATTCGACATCTCATCTTATAGCCGTTAGATCAAAAAAGATCAACGACTCTGATTTGTAAGCATGTGACCCCATTGATCTATCGTCTATAAGATGAGGTGTCAAATTTAAAATTTGATACCAGTATCAAAGAATCCTACCTATATATATATATATATATATATATATGCTTGCTGCAAAATTTCTGATTTGTTGTCGTTGCAGAAATGACAAATCCTATATATATATGGGAAAAATATTTCTGCAGTTAATGCAGATAAGTTATCTGCATTTATTCCCAAAACGACGTCGTTTTGGTATTGAAATCTTAAAAAATTATAAATATAAAGACTATTATAACCCTGAAATAAATTAAAATTACAAAAACACCATGATTTCCGCCCCAAAACGACGTCGTATTGGGCTTATTGCAGATAACTTATCTGCAGTAACTGCAGAAAAAGCAAACCCATATATATATATATATATATATATATATATATATATATATATATATAAGAACCTTCAATGCTTTGTAAAGGATCAAGAACCTTCAATGCTTTGTAAAGGATCAAGATTTCATCCTCACATTATTACTCGGAATCTTCACCACCAGATTAGCATGTTGCATGCATTTAGTTCCATTGGTCACCACCAGATTAGCATGTTGCATGCATCTAATTCCATTGGCATTAGCCTCAAACACATTTGATTCCATATTCAACCCAATTAACCATATATATATTTGTAGTTCAACTTCTAAGTATGCACGTATATCGATTTGATCAGCATGCAAGTACATAATTAAGAGGCTCCGTACAGTTGTTTTATGCTTTACTTTATCAAGAAAATAATTAAGGGAATCATTTCTTTCTAATTCAGGAAATGAAGAGGAGGAGGGGGGGCCACAATTAAGCACGTGTAACCGTTAATAAGGTTCACATGGGTAGTGGTAAATCACATGCCCAATCCCACATAAACCGGTGATTATTCATTTCAATGAATTCTTAATGCGAAATGATTTCTACACATATCCTTAAAAAAGAAAAACTAACTTCTAAAATTACAGATTGAATAATTAAAATATGTAACTTTTATAAGTTTGTAATTGTACATTGAGAATGGTGTTTTTCTTATTTTATTATTAGGAATAATGTTTCTACCGTAAGATAAAGATAAATTTACCTTCTGCAGTCATATGAAAACAATTTTTTTTCTTTCTCTCTTCTTTCCTCGTAGGGTTCCACTTACGTTCATGTGAGGCATAAATGAAATTATCTCTATCTTGCAAAAAAAGCATCAATCCTTTCATTATTAGAGAAATTAATATTAAATAATATCATCAAGTCTTAACTAAACAAACAAAAATATAAGAATATTTATTATTTGTAGGTGATTTTTATGTTCCTGTTGAAATTATATATTTTGAATTTTTCATAATGTTTTTTGACTCGGTCTCTAATAAGTTAGTGTCCTGCACACCTATGTGGCTTCCCAACGTTTATTTTTATTGCAAATTTTCCATCACTTTTAGATAATTTTTTGACGGAGGCCTAAGTTCAGAGCAGAAAATCACTGGACAACAATAATTCTAGGAATAGAAAATTTTGAAAGACCAGACATCATCCCATGGAGGAAAAAATCTTCAGTGTTTAGTGCATGGTAGCTATGAAATACCGATACTTCAAAAATCTCGACGTGTCGTGTTCGACACTTTCCGACACTCTGACATTCCGACACTCTTTGACACTTCAAGACGTATTGTAGAAACTCAAAAAGAGATTCAAAGGTTGCGTTGCATTGCGTTTTTAGTTCTAAATATTAGATTTGTTAGATTACTATTGCCATTTTATTGAATTTATATAAATATTTGTGATATCTTATGTTTTTTTGCAAAATTAATAGGTATTATAAGTTTAGCTTTATTTTTTATTAAATTATTGAATATTAAATATAATATACGTAACATAAGTTAAAAATATTATTCAATATCAAAACGTGTCTTTACGTGTCGAAATCTAATATTTTTTTGAATTAACGTGTCGAAGTGTCGTGTCGTATCGTGCCACATGTCACGTGTCAGTATTAGTACTACATAGCATGGTAGTTCATTTATTTTAGGATATGTAGATGAATTTTGCGTAAATTTCTAAAATTTTAGGACCCGTTTACGTATTCTAATATAAATTAACTCAGTGCATCGGTAATATTGAAATTTTATTCTCATAGAGAGCTTTTTTAGTGCAACTGTCACATTAAATACTCAGTGCAAAAGTATTATTATAATTATGTATTCTGGAAAGTATATAATTATAATATTAAAAAAATTCTCTTCAATTTTAATATTATAATTATATACTCTTAAAATACATAATTATAATATTATTATCACACTAAATAATCAGTACGAAAGTTGCACCGAAAATATTTCTCATCCCGTGAGCTTCAAGATGTGATAACCAACAGGACTTGCAAACGATATTAGACATCGACCAATTTGATACTATTTGAGAAAAAAAAAAATACCAATATGTCACGGTTCCTAAATTTCTTTCTAAAATCTCGATTGTATCTCGTTATTGGGCCACTCGGATACGTTTTATCACATCACAGAATAAGATGAGACTCCCTAGTTGAGTCAATTGGACTAGTTCCACTAACCTCCTTCTCTAACGTGGCAAAAACAGATTAATTTTGCTGACTCACCTTGCGAGATTCACATCCTTCTAGCGTGGCAAAATGTATTCCGTTGAATCCAATAAAAAAAATTTATGACAGAATTAAAAATAATTTTACAGACGTGGCATTGTGCCTTTTTTTTTCTTTCCAACATATGACATTTTAATTACAAGCTAACGTATCTTTGGTGTATAGTATAGGATAAGGTTTGATAGTATAAAACATGATAATATAAGACCTGATTGTATAAGATCTAATTAAATTTTAATACTATCCAGCGTTTGGTATGGTATTGTATAAGATAATATCCTCCAATATTTTAAAAATAAATATATTAAAAAAAATTATTTTAATATATTAATATTGAAATGATATATTAGTTCTTGAGAATTGTACTTGTAAGCAATATTAATACATCAACATCTTATCAGGCCTAG